AACTATTATGCGTGATGTACGTTTTTTGAAGGGTGGTGAATGAAAATGTTCCAAAACGCGACATTAATTTCTTGACGACCTAATATGTTCTTAACGTAATGACCTCTTTTATTGTTTTGGAGTAGTATCCTACATACGAAAATGGTTTCATCTTGGTAGTTCTCTATTATCAGACTAAAAAACTAAGTCTGTGGTTTATTAAGGAAAACGTTTTGGGTATGTTTTCTAGGACTATTGTCAATAAATTAACTATTTAGATATACTCAACATTTGAGCGATTCGTCCTAAACTATTATCTTAATGAATTTTCCTTAAAGTTATACATTATAAAGTAAAATAAAATGCTGAGTAAACAATCAAGTATTTGAGGCCTAATAATAAACACAACAACATTTAATAAGTTTGACTTCTATAAGAAAAGTCATAACATATACACATAAATTTAAGAAATATAAGCATAATACTTTTCAGGTGAATAAATAAGGAAAGGAATTTACATTCCATTAGTTTAATATTCTTAAACTGAGTTGTTACATTATACAGTGTGAGGTTTTGATTTTAGATAATCTAATACATCTGTAGAAAACAACATAATCAGTTAAAATGAGGAGACAAACATGGAATTTTATTGAACAATCAGAGTATCTTACACATTAGCGTCGCTTCATTTCTCGCGGGTTATACTGTGTACTCATACTAAGTAACTAGATTCTTTACACCAGTCTTCAGTATTTAGAAGAAAATATAAAACTCGGGCCAAGTCTCCACAGAGACAAAGAAATATGGAAAGCTCATTAAGTGAAAAGTGTCCCAAGAGAAAACAGAAACATTGGCAGTATCTACCACAAGGTGTGCTAACACAATCCACAGCTACTCGAACGCTTCGTTGCCACAGTACAGGGCTAACTCCATAACGTTACATCCCTTCCTGCAACATTCATCAGTTATCCCCCTCATCTTCCGGTAAAAAGCATCACGTTTTCCTAATAGCGATAACGTTTTTTTCGTATCTAGTAAATCTTTTCCGAAGACTGGCCTAGGTTCTGAGAAAAGGTACAATCGTGTCATTGAAGGAAAAAAACAGATGAATATATTGTTACCCAAATTTATTCACTAATTTAATTTTGGATGTTATTCCTAGTGTAAGAGTATAAAACTTATAATTTTGATCCGAAGTACTAATTGAAATTTTAATTTATGAAATATGTAATATTTTAGCCTTATGAAATTAAATTTATATAACTATTGATTTTTAACATCAGAAATACAGAAAATAACTTTACTAATTTCACCGTTAAATTTGTCACTATACAGTCACTTTAATGACAAAAGTTTTGTTTTTGTAGACAGTAAACAATATGTAAATATCTACTAACAAATAGAATACTTGAGAAACTATTAATTTATCTGCTATATTTTCCTGCTTGGAGAGACATGAACGTAAGCATGATCGAATATACAAGTATCACAGCTAATCGGCTCTGTTAATCCTCTGGCATAATAACGATGTCTGTTCAAAATTGTTTAATATTTGTTATGCCCAGTTCACCATTAACGCTATAAAACGTCTTTATATTAACTTCATTGCAATACGTGTATATGAAAAACACACAAAAATACAAAATTAATAACATAAAAAATATTTAAAGTTTCTGAATTTTCCTTGGTAATGTAGGCTCTAATATAATTGGTTTGTTTTTAGTGAATTTTTTTATTAAACATTTATTTAAAAGATTGTAAATGGCGAAATTGATCACATTAAAAAAAAAATCTAGTCATGTTGGAAGAAATTCTCGTTTTTAGCTTCAGTGAGATCGTGGAGGTAAGGCATCTAAACTCCTACTCGAAAGTAACTCCTTCCCAGTGGCATAGCGGTATGTCTGCGGACTTACAACACAAGAATCCGGGTTTCGATACCCGTGGTGGGCAGAGCACAGATAGCCCATTGTGTAGCTTTGTGCTTAATTCATTATTTTTCCGAATTAAAAAACAAAACACATGCATGACGAACGGAAGAAGTCTTAGGTAATTTTTGGGCAATTTTGTTATATTCAAAGTAATTGCATAAATCATTTCACAGATCAATCATAGCTGAAACCATTGAGTTAAAGCACATTAAACTGGGAAATAGCCTGTGGTACTGGAATATAAAAGGGCATAAAACAGAAAGAATAAAATAAGTTTTAATTTGCGAAATACGTTTTTTGTACTAACTATGATATTGTGGCATTCATGTATGTACTGTACATGAAGTTGAATGTATATAAATATTTTAAGTATAATTTAAGTATAAATTTGTCGAAAAAGATAATTCTTGCTTTACCTGAACCAACTTTTTCAGAAGTTAAATCGCTTCCAGTCTTCTTCAATGGACTGTAATAGAAACTGTGACAGACTAAAGCTAATGCTTCTGCCAGGTGTGACCCGCAGAGCTTTAGACTTCGTGTTTGAAGTCTAGAGTAATTTGGCAATCCTTGAGCAAAACCCGCAGCTGCGCAGATGCAGATGGTGAAAATAAACTGCCAGTTCATCTAAAAAGATAAAATATATATGGTTTATACACATTAACAAATACATAGGTGTTCACATTTGCCATATTTGCACTAGGGGGACAAAAGTGGACCATGTGATTATTGTGATATCATTGCAAGTAGCAATTAAAATGGAGTGGGGTAATTATTTACAGGAAATAGCACACAAAGAACTTAGTTTATGTATTGGTAGGGACGGAAAAGAAGGGGCAAATATATCTGCAGGATATACGGAAAAAGCTTCTGACTTCATCAGCTGGTGGTTACAATAGCGTCAGTCTCTCCTTGGTCAGTGTCATAAGCAAACGCGTTTCTTCGATGTGAAGTGGTTCCCGCCAGTTACTATAGCTTTCCAGAAAACAAAACAAACAAACAAACAAAAAACACGTAGAAGATGTGGAATCACTTTGCATCTGTACAATTATGTAATAACTGCTTTTTTAAATTTTTTCACTATTTTTTTGCTGCAGTCATATTACGAAAGTACAACAATACAGTTACGGTTAGAAATATTGATAATAACCAGGAATCACTGTAAGAAACCTGCTCTATAACGTATGGCTAAATAATACGTTAAAAGTATAGGCCCACATGTTCATGATAACACAACAGAGCCTGCTAATTATATGTTTTTAGTTATATTAAAATTTGTTCAATGATCTTAGCCTAAATGTTTAAATACTAACTTAGGTCTCATCCGTAGACTTTGCTGCACAAATTCAATGTGATCAGATCTGTTTGGAGATTGTATTTGAATTATTTATTTTGTGTGAAACTGTAAACCATCAACATTTGAAAAACTATTATTGAATTATAATGTTAGTAGCATATCCGTTGTAAGTTTGATACAAATTTGTTTTTGTTGTTGTCAAATACAGCTTCAGTAGAACTTACGTGATACATGGGTCAGTTTGCAAAGTAGAGCTGTTACAAGTTGCAGGATTCTGAAGTCCTGTAAAATAATAGTAATTTATAAATGTTTTACTTAATGTATCACGTTTGTTTGTTTGTTATGGATTTCGCCAAAGCTACACGAGGGCTATCTGCGCTAGCCGTCCCTAATTTAGCAGTGTAAGACTAGAGGGAAGGCAGCTAGTCATCACCACCCACCGCCAACTCTTGGGCAACTCTTTTACCAACGAATAGTGGGATTTACTGTCACATTATAACGCCCGCCGCGGCTGAAAGGGCGAGCATGTTTGGTGTGACGGGGATTCGAACCCGCGACCCTCATATTGCGAGTCGAGCGCACTAACCACCTGGCCATGCCGGGTGATATGAAAACAAGGAATCAGTCATACTATGGTACCAGGTTATAATTTTTGTACTGATATTCTAGCTAAATTCCTTATACGTTTGCCAAGTTACTGAAGATGATGTCTCGCCTAAAAGCTGCAACCCAAATTCTTCCGAGTTTTGGAACTCGTAAAAAGTGATACTTTAAGTTTTTCGTTCCATACAGAACTTTATTAAACAGCACCTCCACTTTCCCACAACAATAAAGATCTGATCATTCGCTTCGCTTATATTTTTTAGTTTTCAGAAGTTTCGCACAGAGCTACACAAAGGCTAGCTGCATAGCCGTTCCTAATTTTAAATAATATACCATGATATACTCTAGTCTGACTAAATAGTAGGATTTGACCATACATGGTTCCAAAGTACAGAGCACGTTTTTGCGGCGACAGGCCACAGACCTCAGGTTTCGAACATGTTTACCACTAGGCCACTCTCGATTAAAAAAAAAAGTATCAGAGAAACTTTGAAC